TCACAGTTTTTTTTTTTTTAATTTTGCTTTTTCCTTCTTTTCTCATTTCCCCCATGCCTAATTAATTAGACATTCTGAATTGTTTCATTTTATTCTGGAGTTCTTACATCCAAATTTGTGTAGCTTCAAAATATCCTCTAATCACTTACATACTTAGTGAAGACAAACTAATCCAACTATTCAAAATATGTCTAACTTATAGTATAAGATAAATATAAGATTTTAAGAAATTTCTGAGAATTTTGTGAAAAGGGAGAATATAATTTTTTGCTGTGAACTAGGACATGTTTTATTTATGATTTGTAGAAACAAAGGATTGAATTCAGAGGACAGGGCCACCAACAGAACCTTTCCTGAGCTGTGCAGTAGGGCTGAGGATATTTCTTGTTCACATCCATCCTAGGTTTGGATTGCTGGCTCCATTTCCGGGCTACGAAGGGTGAAGGGTAGAAGACTAAGAATCACTATTCAATGATGAACGGTTGAGAAACTTGAGACTTGGTGTTTTAGAAAATTTAGTAAGCCAAAGTGGATTTGTGAGAGTTATTCCTATAATGTTTTATCCAGGTTAATTAGGGAACATGATTGACTTTCCCTTAAAAGTGGGCCTGGAAAAGATATAGGCAGGAGACCTTAAATTATCCTTCTCTGAAGAAACTGTGTTAATTCCGACTTCCAAAGATTTCACATAGTTCCTGGCACACAAACATTTGCTAATCATATTTAGAGATGGGAGCTTATTCAGAAAGCATTGCGAACTTTCAGTTGTAGCTTTCTGTGCTCCGAAGAGCTGAGGATGGTTTCAGCTGGAAAGGAGGGCACTAGTTTGAAGGTCTTGATTAATGAGGATGTCTGGAGTATATGCTCCTTGGATAACACTTCTTTTCCTTGCCTATTCGAAAGTTGCCAATGTTATAGCTGTGCTGCCTGTCCTGATTTATTTCGTGGAATCGTGCAGTTTCTTCCATATCTTAGATGATACCATTTTTCCTACATAATTTGCTTGATTTTCATGTGCTCTATCAGTGTTGGCAGGGTAGAGCTCTTGATACCAAGACATATAACTTATGCCTTAAAGTGCCAGAGTTTCCAAGGAAGAAGAAACATGGGCCTCCCAAAATAGGAACCCTTAAATTAGAAGCAAAGAACACAGAGGCTATCTGATTTCTTCCTAAAACCCTGGTTGTTATGCAGGTGGGAGGGGGAAGGTATTAGGAAGAGACTCATGAAATGCTTTAGTGGAAGAAGGGGTTGCTGATTGCTGCTGTCTGAATGTTTATCGTCTCCCCAAATTCATATGTGGAAACCCTAATAATCCCGGATAGTATTTGAAGCTGACGCCTTGGATGGTGATTAGGTCATAAGAGTAGAGCTCTCATGAATGGGATTACTGCCTTTATAAAAGAGGCCCCCAAAGGCCCCTTATCTTCTCTGACACATGAGGAACAGTGTGAGAAGGCACCATCTATGAACCAGGAAGTGAACCCTCACTAGGTACAGGATCTACTGTTTCCTTGATGGTGGACTTTGCAGCCTCCAACACTGTAAGAAACATATCCACGTTGTTTATAAGCTACCTTGCCTGTGGTGTTTTATTGTAACAGCCTGAATGGACTGAGACACTTACATACTACACCCCTTGAAGCCAAGTAAGAATGATTCTCAAGTGAACTCTCTTGGCACTTTGGAAATCAAGCAATCAATATGTAATCCCCTACATTGTGCAATTTCCTGTGTTCTCTGTCCCCTGCTTCTTCCTTTCCAGTCTTACCCAAGAATTCTGTAAGGTCATAGGTATTGAAAATGGTTCTGGGACTGATATTATATGCATGCAATGACCTTTCCAAGTCATTTTTATTCTAATCTACAACATAGTCTGAACATAACTGCGTTGAAATTCAAATAATTTATGATAATCAGTGAGCTCTCTCTTCTTTTTCCCGGAGGAATCCCCATCACCCATTCTGATATTCACAATAGGACTTCCTCCACTTATCTTTGATTATGTCAGAACTTAGAAATGATTCAGAAGATGGTAAAAGAAACCCGAGGACATTTTCTCATCAAACTTGCTCTCATGAAGCTGATAGGTATTAAATAACCTTAAGCAAAACACAACCAGCCACTGCTTTTGGAGCTACTGCAGAGGAGCCTTGGCCTGGACCCTTTTATGAATGGCCTAGGGCAGGGAACAGTCCCTAAGCTGCAGCACCTGCTTCTTGAGAATATGCATGTGCAAGCCCTTCTGAAAAGGTTTCCAGGGAAACCATGTAACTTTGATTCCTTTTTCTGAAATGTATTAAGCACTAAACGTGCCTGTTAGTGCCTGGGGTTCTCATTTGAAATCAGAAGCTGTTGAAGAAAAGTGTTTGCCTGAAACACACCCACATACCCCGAAACCATTTTTATGCTTTCCTCACTAAATGTCAGCTGCATACTCAGCTGTGGAGAACTAAATGACCTGGGTTCATTTGTGGGGTGAAAGAGAGAATTAACTCCTTTTCTTCCTGTCACTATGATGGCTATTAGGGAATGATAGTCATGTTCAGACTGAGCAACTGTATCTTCCCAGCTAGGCCCTGTGTACATTAAACCTTGTAGACAAGGCAAATATCAGAATATCTTTATCGACATTTGTTAATATGCACAGAAATACTTGGGCAAGAAACCACAGAAAACTTGTCCAAAATATTCCCCATGTCTCCATTGATGGTGACAGATTTTGAGATTCTTGGTCTGTTCCCCTGCTCTTGTTTCTTGTTTCCATTGTGGTTGGGGTAGAACCTGGGAGAGCCCACATCCTCAATCAAAACTGCTTGGCCTGGAGGCAGATTCCTGACCAAGCTGAGCTACTACAGTTTCATTGGAATGCAAAGGTGACGATGTCCACTGTAGAGGCACAAGCCTGTAATCCTAACACTCAGGGAGCTGAGGCAGGAGGATCACTGTGAGTTCAAGGCCAGCCTGGGCTAAAAAATGAGTTCAAGGCCACCCTGCACTACATAGTGAGACCCTATCTCAAAAACAAACAAACAAACATGATGGGGGTTTAAACTAGGTAACAAAACAAGAGATGAGAGGCAGCCAGGGTTTACGTACTCCGCCCAAGGGAAAAGAGCAATGTGAAGGGAAACTCTGAGGAACACATAGAGAAAGATAATGCAGAGAGAGAAGGGAGAGAAGACAAGGAAAGACTTCTGGTGGCCATGGGGAGACCTGGGAGTACTTTCTAATCCAAGGTTTTGTGAGACCGATTTATATGCTCAAAACAAATTGAACTTTGAAATTCAGTGAGAGCATCGATTTTGTGTTACTCCAATCAAAAGGCCCCTCGTAAATCACTCCTCTTCTAGAATCAGCTTTTCTTCCATTTCTTTCCAAATGGCTGGACCTGTGGGTTGTTGGTCTAAGCTGGTGCGGTGGTAGGTGTTCACGCTAATGACACTGCAGAGATGTTCCTGCACTGACTGTGGCCACACTCTTCACACTGGGCGTGGATATGTGACCTACACTGGAACGTTGTTCCCTAGTCACAGGGTGGTTTCTGATGGGTGTATGATGTCAGTGGGGCTTTTCATAGAACTGACACAGAAGGATACAGACAGGGAAACACAAGCAGATTCACAGCTTTCCAGGAGGAGAAACTCCCAAGCTTAGGGAGACTTTTTGGGTAGATGTGGAAGGAAACTTTCACAGAGTTCAGCTCAGCTTTTTGTCTAGATAAGAATCATGAAGCCCAATGAGACAGACATGGCTTGCTCTTAAGTGGAGGCTGACTCCCTACTTCTTGAGTACTTCCCCCAACCCTGTTCTGCTTCTAGTACTTTCTTAATGAAAAGAGAGTTTAGATTCCTGAGTTCTTCCCTTCTGGGCTATGATTGTAATAGGTAAAATACATATTGGCTATGGTTGTAAAAATCAGTATAATATGTATCTTGGATTTTGTTTTTATGATAAAATTGAAGCCACTATTTTTTAGGCAAATTAAAGAAAAGTATAAGTCCACAGACAATACGAATGAATTTTTTCCTTTCTAAACCTGTATGTGTGGAGTTCGCTAATTTCAACCCTAGCTATTTTAGGCTGTGCTTGTTCTGATATCTTGTAAGACATCATGTATCAAGGTCACCTGAACTTAGTTAACCTGAATAAAAGGATGATGTATAAGGTCAATTTAAGTTTTGTCTGTGTACCACATGGCCCTTAACTCCTTTCATTACACAGATGATTCCCACTACATTTTAGACCTTCTCTCTTGACCCCTGGATTCTCTGTGTGAGATCTTGCATAACTGCTTTGTCCATGTTATACCCATGATACTGTCCAGGTCTACTCCATTTTACCCAGTCTATTATAGAGTCTGTCCTTGTCTTGCCTCTGGGTACTTCTTCCCTTTCATATTCTCCAACTGACCATCTTTAGAATTACTTTTCTATGTTAAATTGGACAGGCTTTTTTGGCAGCTGTGTTAGTCATTTTCTTATCCCAGAACAAAATATCTGACATCTGTAATATAAAGGAGGATAGGTTTACTCATCTTACAGTTTCCAGTGGGTTCAGTCCATGGTAATTTGGCTCCAAGGCAGAAATAACATTGTGGAAGGTCATGACCAAGGAAAGCTCCTCACCCCATGGCAATCAGGAAGTAGAGAGAAAAGAGAAGAGCCAAAGATAAGAATGTACTCTTCAGGTTGTACCCCCAATGACCCACTTCCATCTAGACCCCACCTCTTAAGAGCACATTCAATTACTGAACTCATCCATGGATTAATCTACTTATGAGTATGGTTCCCCCTGATCCAATTACTTTCCAAACACGTGAAACATTGTGGGGGATATTTTAGGTCTAAACTATAATAGGAGGGGTTGAGTTTGTACCCATTTCTCCTTTTGAAAACAGCACTTGGATTTTCCTTTGAGTATCTCTCAAAGGAAAAGGGGTTTCATCTTCTGACTTCATCTTCTGTCTCCAAGGATGGGTGCTATCTTCCTCTGGTCAGTGTATTTACCTCCATAATGGTTGACCAGAGCTTTCCCTGAGATTCAGCCCTGGATTCTTGATGAAACTACTGAGGTGGAAGCAATCTCTTCTTTCCATGGAGTCCAAGCTAGTAGATATAGCCTCTAGCTGTTGATTTTCCATCTTTGCCCCATCTTTGGAAAGAATACCCTTGAGAAAGAAGGGGAAAGTAGAGCTGAAAGATGACTTCATTTATGCATTGGCGTCAGCTGGGCCTGCTGCCAGTTGCATTTCTGCACTTTCTAGTGAAATGAACCAACACATTCTTTTTTTGCTAGGTCATTTTGAATTAGGTTTTAGTCACTATCAATCTGAAGAATGGCCATATCATTATTGTCCTTAAAAGTTATTTATGCCTTTTAACTCCATGCAGGATAAATCCAACCCCTTCTTCTCAGGTTCAGGGCCTTTTAAATTGTTCCCATTTTACCTTTTGCTTCCACTCTTTTGCCACTCACCAGATATTCCTGCCATGGTAGTTCTTGACTCACTTTGTGTTTTTACCCAGTATTGCCTGTGTCTTACTGTCAGCTCAAGGGAGATTTTTGAAGGGGAGGTCCCCAGGTTAAAGGACACATGTATGTAAGACATCAGCAACAGCAGGTAGCATAAAGCAGAGTGCAAGAGCATGAGAGTGTAAGAGTGCAAGAGCAACTTGCATCTTTTTGTATAATTCTTATAGAGGTTGTTATCATATATTTACATTCTTGTACAGTGTTGTAAACAGCACGTGTGTGTTTACCTGTGCTCAGCTATGGTTACATAACTGTATCCCACTGTGTGCTTGCACTAGACAATGGGATCACATTCTCAGGTGTCCTGACATGCTCCTGAGCTTTGAAGAAGTCTAAGTGGTTCACCACACTTACATGTCTATCCTCAACCCATCCGCAATGCTCAGACCACAGGTTGAGATCCTACTGATATATCAAGAACTAACTCAAATGTCACCTCTAACAGGCCTTTCTGGTCCCTTTGAATGAACTCTAGCTGCCTTGCATTTTCTTGGCATTTTATGTATTATAATGTATCCCATCCTGTCTTATCTTCCTAGGCAAGAGTTGCTCTATATTTCTGGTCCCACTCCGAAGCAGACATCAGTAGATGATGATTTAGCATAGGGTTTCCTTCATTAGAGTCAAGTGTGAACGTACCTGATCCCTCCACCAGGTGGTGCCTGACTGGTATGGGTTTTCCTGAGGTCACTAGCACAGCTGAGTGTCTTACACATGGAAACATTGAACAAAGAGGTGGTGAGAAGAGATGGATTGGTCTCAGGGGCTTCCACACTCATTTTCATATGGGTGTTGATGGTACTGAACCAGTTTCAACTACCAGTTTCAATGCTCACATCTGTGACTCTTCACCCTTCACTACCGCCTCTTTTTCTAATTGAGGATTATCAGGTTATAATATCCCTTAGTTATTGCTGGTTGATCAGGTCTGCAATCTCCCGGAAAAGTGTACGGTGAAGGTTAAATAAAAAGGCAAATGGGATGATTTCAGGGCTCCGGGAGGATCAAAGCCCTCTCACAGAATTTGAGATTCTCTCAGGGCTAAAACCAAGACCTTTTCTGGGTGCCTTGTATTTATTTGGTTATCAGAAGAAGGGAGGGGAGTACCCAAGAAGGGAGGAATCACTCAAAGACTTCTCCAAGTAAGTACTAAATTAGGATTAAGTTAATCCACCCAGGAGTGAGATGCCTGAGGCCATAGTCTTTATCTAGTTGAGAAAGGATCCAGGTGTCCTTGTCTGTGATCTTGTCTTACCCTTTGAGGCTTTCCGGCTTCATTCACCATTATATGTTTTAGTAGGGCTTAATGACTCAGAGAGGTTCACTTACTATGAGTCTGCTGCCAATTTCCAGACAAGTGGCCTAGGCTTTGGACAGATTCACAAGTAAACATAAAAAAGCCAACTGATTAGTTTAAGTCCTGCTCAGATCTGCCTCATAGTGGTCTTCATCAGAGGATGAAAGGCTCTAAGGTGGCAGCTCTGAGCTGGGAGCTGGTTTCCCTTAAATGTTTTTTGATGGTTTCTATTAGGTTTGACACCTGCCATTGAACTTGCACCTTTGGAAAAACTAGAAAGAAGAAGAAGGAGAGTAAGAAAAAGTGGGATCACTATTTTGTAAAACAGGGCTTAGTGAGAGCTTCTTTTCTGTCATTATCATCATTATCATTATCATCACCATCACCCAAGTGCCTGCTGCAGTGCATGGTCCAGCTCTAAGATTGAGGAAAAACAATCCTACAAAAGCAGGGTTGTATGGAACATAGTTTGACAAAAGTGGGATTGTCTATATGTCTATGTGAAACACACATAGACAATTAATTTTCTTTGTATTTATTTGTTAAGTCAGGCCTTTTGGGTTGAAGGTTTCTCGACAAGCTGAAACTAATACAGTTTATGAACATAGATTATTCTTAGGTTACCAGTTACAACTGCTGTCTACAAATCCTGATGATGGCTGGGGTTGTGCTGTTTTTAAAGTGACTGATATTTCCAAGCAACTACTCTGTTCTGGGCATTGTGCTAAATTCTTTCAATGCATTAATTATTCTGTCTTCTATAATCATCAAAATAACTCTTGCTACCTAACAAATTACTCCCAAACTTAGTGACATCAAATTCCAATAGTTACTGTTTCATGATTTCCATGGATCAAGAACCCAGGAATGACTTGGTTAGGTTCTCTGGTTCAGGATCTTTCTCAAGGCTCCACTGGAAAGACACACATCCTCGTGCACTGATATGTTGCTGGCTGAAGTCAACTCCTTTCCTGCAGGTGGCTGGGGACCTTCCTGACTTCCTTGCCTCATAGGCCTCTCCACAAGCATCACAGTTCACAATCGTGGCGTGGCACAATGGCTGAAAGAATCCTCAGAATCAATGTCCAATCCCAAGAGGGCCCAGTGGGCTGTCCTTAACCAAAATATGTCACTATGAGCAAGTCTCATAAAGACAGCAGTGAACTGAAGCCTCTGTGGTTTTTATGGATAGAACCAGGAAGCAAGAATAAAAGAAAAAAGAAGGGCACCTGGGCAGGAACTCATGTAGCAGATAGGGGAAGAACAAGGGATGATCAGGGTGGTCTGTTAAATGACTGACCTTGAGACCAATCTAAGTGATAAGTTGGAGTATTAGAAGGACAAAGATCAGAGCATTCATTTCTTAAGGCAATGCATTCTGATCCTACTTGGACTTGTGGCCCTGTAGACTCTCTTTTAATTTCTAACCATGTGTTCTGGGAGGTTTTGAGTATGTGTCTCCAAAAAGTCCCTACATATCCATCTCATACATGTCTCTGGCCAATGCCCCCACACGTAGAGCATCTCAGGACGTGGCAGGCAGTTCCATCAAGCTGAGCATGTAAGAATGAGAGAGGTAGAGGATGTCAGTAAAATGGAGGACAGGGGTTTTTATGACCTAGTCTTGGAAGTGATGTTATACCACCTTTACCGTATTGTATTGTCAAAAACAAGTTGGTATACCCAGCCCATACACAGTGGGAGGGGATCACACAAAAGCATGAATACCAGGATGCTGTGATCACTGGGCACCATTGTAGAGATCTACCTGCTGCAGAGAGATAGATACTCTAATTCTCATTTTACAAAATAAGAAAAGCGAGGCACCATTTGAAAAATCAGAGATGATAGGCGAAGCACGTGTATATGCACTTCATCACATATGATGAAAATTCATGTCTCTCTCTCTTTTTTTTTTTTTTCCTTTTTTGTTTTTTTCCAGTATCGGGGATCAAACTTATGACCTTGCGCTTTCTGAGCAGGTGCTGTACCACTGAGCTAAATCCCCAGCCCCTGATACTCACCTCTCTGAGTAGCATTTCTCAAGCACAGGTTGGGACGTCCTGAGCCTCCTTGTTTGTTTCACTTTCCTCACTTACAGCATCTGCCCTCTGTCTTGTGGAGCCTGGAACCAGTATCCTTGGCTTCCCCAGGGAGGTTGTTGGAAAGGCAGATGCTGAGGCATCATGCCAGACCCTTGGAGCCAGAGTCTGCATCCCCAGGAGGTCGTGTGCACGTTAACATTTGGGAAACATTGCTCCAGATGATCTCCTCTTTAGGGCTCTCTGCTGACGTCACATGTCCCTGTGCCCTTCCCTGGCCCTGTGTTATTTCAAAAGAGCAGGAAGTGAACGTTCTTATCACCTTTCACCTTGTACAAACAGCAATGAAGTAAGACTAATAATGGGGTCACTATTGATAAGATAGACCAGGAGCCCTTAACATGGATCATCACAGACAATTAAAAATGAAAGTTGGCATTTGACTCTAGAGTGAACTGCAGCTAAGCTGTCCAGAAAGTGAGTCTTCCTTAGTTACATTTTATTTAGGCAACAAGATGAATCACAAAAGCACTGTGGTATGTGAAAAAAGCCAGGTCTAAAAGACAATGTGTTGTATAAGACCACTGAAATGAAATTCTAAAAAAGGCAAAACTCCAGAGACAGCATTTCAGTGGTTCTTAGGGGTTAAGAGAGATGGGAGAGAATTTACCACAAAGAGGCACAAGAGAAATTTCTGAAATGGTGGAATTGTTATCTCGACTATGATGATAAATATGCATTTATTAAAACTCATAGAATTGCACACACATGTAAAAATTGTCAAATTTTATAGACATTGATCTTCAATAAAGCTGATTTTTTTTTAAAAAGAAGCAAATCAGAGTTAGCACTGTCAATTCATTCCAGTTTTCCTGATTTTCTCCAGTTGGAGAATCCAGGAGCTGATTTACATTGATTAGAATAGCTCATCAAAGAAGGGTGCTGTTTAGAAGATTTCTTGGTATCTGATGTTGACAGAGAATGGGAATTATTTTCTTTGAAATTGTACTGGGAGGATGACACCCTATTAAAAAAATCATAAGAGTTCCATACTTTAAAGTACTCCTAAAAGTCATACTCCAGTAATGCAGCCATTGAACTTTTGATTTCCTTGAAAAGGAAAGAGATAATCATCGAGCACTAACTCCAGGCCAGACATTGGGCCTACTTAATGCTTCACTTATATTATTTCATTTAATCTCCTCAGCAGTTCTATAAAGTAGGTGCTGCTGTCCTCTCCAGTTTGCAGAGGAGAGAACAGAAGCTCAGAGAAGTTGGACAACTTATTCAGGTGACAGTTAGTACCTGGATTTGGGATGATCTAGTGCCAAAGTCACTTAACTACCCTCGACCCTAAGCTGCTCAATCAGCACATTTCTCAGATTCTGAAATGGATTATTTCCAAGTTGCTGGCTGAAAATCCACCCATATCAACCCCCCAGCCACATTTACTCTATATTTCTTCCAGAAGTTTGTAACTCTTTGACATAGATTAAGTAGGTCAAGACAACCTACTTTCTGGAAGCCTACAGAGATCTCCTTTATGCAATTAAAAACTGAGCAAAGAGTTGCTTCAAAGCAGAGGAATTGTCTTTTCTGCTTTCTTGAACCAAGGATTGAACAGAGCAGAGCCAGGGAGAAGTCAGGGGTTTGGCAGTGGTTTGTGTCCAGGAGATTTCCCCAGGAGAAACCCTCAGGAATCACAAGGCTGGTTGCTTCGTAGAACAGGGGCTTAGTGATTATACAAAGGAAAGGTGCAGTGCATGCATGTGTGCGTGTGTGTGTGTGCGTGTGTGTGTGTGCGTGTGTGTGTGTGTGTGTGTGCGCATGTGTGTGTGTGTGTTGGGGATGAGGTACTGGGGCTCAGTACAGCTTTGGCCACCATACACATTTGGTATGGTAATAGAAGGCACTTTCACTCATAACCCTGGCACTCAACTGTAAACAGTGAGGGTAATGGTGGACAGATCTCTGCCAGAGAGTAGGAACATATTTTAACTTTTAGTGTGGTAGAAAGATTCCGAGTTGGAGTCTCAGAAGCCTGCTCATCTGCTGTGAGATGCACAGACATACAGCCTTGGTGCTGCAAATGGACTCTGTGTTCTTTCAGCTGTCCCTGTCTGCATTCAGTCCTCCAAGTGAGAACGCCAAGGGCATGTGGGGGCTCAGAACTCACCCTGAGAAGGGGCATTCTTAGCAAAGCACCAGCAGAGAGGCTCACTCGTTCCTGCTAACGAGTAAACGTGTAAAAAAGGTTGACAATCATGAGAATGAAGCTCTTTGCACTTCCCAGGGGGGATCTCAAATGTGAGCTGAGAGCTCATTAGGGCCACAGAACCTCAGGAGGTTTGCAGAGCCTCGAAGGGCTGCACCAGAGGCGGCGGTGAGCAGTCCTCAGTGGCTGGATAAGTAGCAGCCCCAGGTGCCTGGCTCTAATGGCATCCTCGCTCTAGAGGAGGAGTCAACCCTGCCCAGCCGAATGCGATCACAGACAGGTCCGGTCTGGTAATGCAGCGAGCTTCATCACAGACATTTTTATGCTCCCAAAGTTCCTACAATAGCTTTGATACTGCTGTTTGATAATCACTGACCTCATAAATTTTTTTTTTCTTTTGAGAAAATTTCTCTCAGTTTTTAATGTGGTATAATGCAAATTAAAGGATATGACTAACATGCAGACTACATTTCTTTTCCAAAATGAAAGTACTTCAATTTTCCCTCCTCATTGAGAAAATCAAATAATGAAAGTCAAGTTCCTCACACCCAAGATAAAAATAAATGCAAAGTAAAAACCTATCACTATTAATAGTATGGTATGACTACATCTTCCAAGCCATTTTGTGTGTGTGTGTGTGTGGGGGGGTGGTTGACCTCAGGGGTGCTTGAGCACTGAGCTACATCTTCAGGCCTTTTTTATTTTTTAAGACAAGCTCTTGCTAAGTTGCCCAGACTAGCCTCGAACTTGCAGTTCTCTTGCCTCAACCTTGAGAGTGATGGGATTACAGATGTGTGCCGCTACTCCCAGCCTTTTAGCTTTTTTAATGTACACACAAACCTACCTTTGAACTCGAATGTGATCGCAGTGCAATACTGGGCCGTAACCGCCTTGTTTCATCCCTCAGTTGGTTACAGGTCTACTTTGACGCTACTGCGTTTGGATCTGGTTTGTCTTTTCAGGATCTTTTTTATAGGTCACTGCATGAGTGTGGTTTACTTAACCAAGCCCCTTCTGAGAGACTTTTAGGCTGTTTCTCATTACTGGTTATTATCTAGAATGCTGCTAACTAACTTTGAGCCATAGGTGTTTGCACATTTGTACAGTCATTTCTGGAGTATAAATTCTTTCAAATGGATGTGAACTTTATATAGATGTGGGGACTTGCTTAGTCACAGTATAGATGCCTTCTCATTTTGATAAATTTTGTCAAAGTGCTGTGCATCAATGTACCAACTTGCACTAAAGCTTTCGATGTGTATTACAGTGCCTTTTCTTTAAATCAGTACCAACTCTGGGTAGTGTAGATCTTAGCTAAACTAGCAGGAAGATGAACTTAAATTATTTTGATTTGCACTTGTTTTGTTAATTGCAACTTGCAGTCCAGAATTATTGGATTGGGTGAAACTGAAAATAAGTCAACAGAACAGAACAGAACTCTTAAGAAACCCTAACTTATTTTGCTTCATTCATATTGTTAAATATAATTACCAATTTATTACATAATCATGCAAACAAAACCCAGCACACCAAAGATAAGAATTTGCTCCAGAAACTTAAAAATTTTTGAATTTATTTCAAAAAATAATTCATTTTCATTAATACAGCTTCCAAATCATGTTATACAATTCCTGTATCTAACATTTAAAAAAAATCATTTTCTGTTTGTTTGTATTTTTCTAGTACCGGGAATCGAATTCA